TATTATTTTATTATTTCCCTTCTACATGACTTTACCGAAAGAACCAAGAATATGAACTTAACACCTGTTTTGTTGCCAGATAAAAGGGGAAAAACCTATTCTCATATTTTGGTACTTGCAAAGGAGGTCCCATTATGTGATGCTCAAACCGAACTCTCATTACACTGATAGTGGCATTGTCTTTGTGCTGTACGCCTTTTGGCGTCCTCTGGTCTAATACCATTTGGCTCGAAAGCTGTTTCTGGTGTGGACCAATCAGTTTCAAAGACAATGCATACATTATCAGAGTATGTTTTTGTTTGCATTCTGACCACAAGTATTGCGGTTAATGCAGCTATGATTCCTTGTTAAAAGGTTTCAGTTTGGTATTTTAACAACTTAACACCTAAATTTTGATTTAAAGCTTTCGTGACTGCAGTAATTCATATTCTTAGTTTTTTCGGTAAAGTCACGTTGAAGAGAAACAACAAAATAATAAAATAATAATAAATAATAATAATTAAAAAAATATCGCATATATGCGAACCAACACACCTGAAGACGACCGTTTGAGTTATGGTCGAAACGTCGTGAGAATTTTTTATTGTTTTATATATATTTTATTATTTTGTTGTTTCTCTTCAACGTGACTTTACCGAAAAAACTAAGAATATAACTTAACACCTGTTTTGTTGCCAGATAAAAGGGGTGAAAAACCTATTCCCAATAAAGTGGAAACCAAAAAAATAATCATGAGTGATCATCAACAGCGTGTTCTATAACTGCTGCCAATAGCCTTGGGCTGATCATCCTTGTGTAGCGTCGGAAATGCACATCTTATATCATTAGCATATATACTTACCTGCAGTTGCGGGCAAAGGCCCATAGGGGGTGCCACCCTGAGCTGGGGATGGTCAGAGAGAGCCGGCCGTTGAGCGGCCGGGTTCTCCCCCGCCAGACCCCAGGTGAGGGGTTGGGGGGTTCTTCCAGAGCCCCCTGGAAGGTTCCAGAAAGGGGGCGGTACCGGGGGCGGAGAGTCCCCAGGAGGTGTATAAAAGGGGCACCTCAAGCACAGCTCAGGGCAGTGTTCCGAAGACGAAGAGAGAAGACCAGCCTAGCTAGGACCCTGAGACCCTGGGACCCGACGTCCTTGTTAGGGCTGGGGCCGAGCGCGGACCAGTGGTCAGGACCCATGCCTTGGCTGGGTCGGGTCAGTTAGCCTCCCCTAGGGCACAAATAGCCGGAGGGCCAAGAGCCAGGTTGACGAAGTGTGAGGGGACGCTAGCCCAGAGGCTGTACCTCCCTAGATAGTGGGAGTTAAGAGGAGTCTTGTGTTACCTCTAAAGACAACGTCTCCAGTCTCCGTGGAACCCACTATACTTGTAAAACAGCAGTGTAGCTGTTTTAACAGAAGCATTTAGTAACACCATATATATTGTTAGACACCAAGAACTCACAGCTCGATGCTTTGGTGGACACGCGGAGATTTAACGGGATGCAACTCATGTAATATAATCTTCATACCACCACGTTTGTGTGTGGGTGCAAGTTTTATGGAGAGCGGTGTTAGCGCCCTGTGCTGCCAACCCGGCAACCCAAGTTTGTTTTCCGGTCATTGCTCACATCAGTGATCATTATCTAAACCATAATTATCTGAACTTGTTCTGGGCCTCCTCTAGACTCAACTCTGCTTTAAAATGAGTACCTGGTATGCTGCATCGGCCTTGAAGGGATGCTCGCTAACAGCCCTTTCCCCAACCACATTAAACCACACTGAGGGTCTAAGTATACTTTTTTTTACCTAGCTGAAACTACTGTCAAATAATATTATCACTATAAGTGATATCCTCATGGACACCCTGTATATCATCAACTGCCTTTTTAAAAAAAAAGTCGCAATAGCATCTGTATACATGTTAAACACAGACACAATGATTATACAAATATAATATAACCTCTATGGGGAGGATACTTTTCTTGAAACCATAATAATGAACGTATAACAACATAAGCAAAACAATTGCTGATCGCTATAAAATATTACGAGTAAGAAATACGTGGTAAAAGTCTCAGCTACACCATTCATTAACCCCCCACCCACCCACATTCCTTGGTGTATGCTCACATGAGTAGAGTTGGTCACAATGTGTGAAAATAATCAATTATAATCAACACTGTGAAGCAAGCGGTCATCACTTTCGCTAAAGTAAATCTCTGTTTCGCTACTTACAGAACTCCATATCATTTCCCACACTAATGATCGTTATACCAAATTGATCCCCCGAGACAATCATTATAGGCAGGACAATTCTCAATTAAAATATAAAGGGGTGAACCCATCCTTACAAAAGTGATCGCATCAAATAGCTTCACACTGTCGCCAGCGATCACTGATAATATAATTATGCAGCATATCCGTGATGTTCGGCTTATTACTCTTTTCAACACTAAGAGCGACTGTGTTGTAATTAACCTCACAATGTATAAATGGATTTTGGCTTCAGACACAAACAAGAGCATCAGCTGAAAATGCGTGACTTGGTCGTGTCTATAAAAATAGAAGATTTTCGGCAATTGTATTTTTTTCACGGTGTCAGTATTTCCTAATTAATGCACACTTAATGCTTGCGTAGAATTTTTACATTCTTCATTGGAGCACTCCTTTGATGTGACAAAAATAAGCTTGAAAGCTTTGGGCAGCTGAGTAGCTCCACCGGATACCGGCAAACACCGACAAGCGAGAGCAGGGACAAAGCCCAGATACTCAGCGTGAGAGAGAGAGAAAGAGTTCGCTCCCGTCAATATACACTGACTAGCGTGGTGAGGTACAGCCAAACAACAGCCTCCATTACTGTCTCCAGCAGCCCTGGATTCATCATTCACGGTGTCGGTAGGGAATGTGTCGAAGCAGCGGGGGGGTGCGGGCAATCCCTGGGTATGGGACAGGATATTCCTCTTGACTTGACCATTGCTACGTATAGCACGCAGACTTTGCCTATTTGGTGGTTCAAACTTTCGCAAGCTCAACGCAGTACAGGGAGAAATTAATTTGGACATTGACATGAGGAGAAAGGGAGAGAACTCTGCACATCCCCAATAATGAAAACAATATATAAAGTATTTAGAGAGGAGTGGTGTTCTTAATTTCTACAGGAATCAAAACAGATCATTTTCATGTTAAGTGTTTCAGATAGAATTACCTAACTAACATTAAGGGTCTCAAACCACAACAAGTGAAAAGTACACTAAATGTATTCTCCAACAACAAGTTGCGAAGGAGTAGACCAAATGTACGAATGGACCAACTTTTGATTGAGGGGCAAAACACACTTCAACATCCACACAAGGTAAGTAGGAGGAGCCTACACAAATGGAAAGCACATGAGAATGCGTTTACCTATGACAATTATCGCAGGCGAACTGGATCCAAATGATGAAATTAAGGAGTGAATGAGTGCAAGATTGAGTACTTTGGGAAAACTGATTTTGATAACTTTTGAAGAAGAAGGTTTTCAATCAGTGCTTGTTATCAACCATTAAATATGGACCAGATACCATGGAAAACCTCAAATTAAATGGTGCAAAAGTTGAAAATTATTAAAAATAAAAAGCATGGAAAGGTGCCAACTTGGATATACACTTTGTATGCATGTATATTGCACTTTTGTCGCACCGTACATAGCCAATCGTACGTAGCCAACCGTGCTAATTGGAGGTGCGCTAATCTTTAAGGCGGAACAAACAAAAGAGACAACACATATGAATTGAAGACATCTGATGTAAATAAAAGTGGCCTTGAGTAGCATACAGCAGCAGAAGTTATATGGCTGATGGAATAGCAACCAAAGGAGGGAACATCACCAACATTGCAATGCATGTATATTGGACTTCTTTTGCATCGTACGAAGCCAACCATGCTAATCGGAGGTGCAAATCCAAAATTACTCAACCGAGACGATGGAGTAATGAGATTAACTCATATGCAAGAGGGAAATGAATTGTGGTTTTGTAGTACTCGAAGGGATCACGAGAACTTCATACACCAGTGGAAAGAGCATGGATGTTGGTTATTATACTAAATCACACACAAGTGTTGAACGTCATGAATACCAGGTAAACTTCACACGTGTAAGCTATACATGTCACAAGTAGTTAATATGGCTACAAAAGCTACGAATGGTGTGGTATCTGTTTGCAATTGCTTAAAATTCAACATAATTTCGTCTGCAAATAATTAAAGTATAAAATATGGATATGAAGCATTTTCAGCTATGCAGCTACCAGCATTTGCTTTTAACTTTTTATAGTCTAAAGTGGGATAATATCACATGTAAAGTCATACTTACAGCGTTACCACTGACCCGTGTGGAACACCGGGTCACACCAAAGTAGTTTTTCACCATTAATACGGAATAAAATACAACCACAAATGTCTATTTTTAATTTCCTTTTTAAGGTGACATTTAAAATATTACCCAATTAGGGCATTTTCCGGAGGCTATTCATGAAACCTTCAAAAGGTCAATGACATTGTTGTCCTCTTGGTTTAATGATTAATCTTCTCTGGCTTATTAGTGAAGTTAAACATAACATTGTCCTTTACTGTGACATTAAACAAAGTGCTCAACACTTTTATGACTTATTACAGCCGATTGCTTAAACTAATACTAGCTAAACGTACAATAAACAGTTTCACTTAAGTGGAAGTATGGTACCATGTGTTCTCACTTAACAGAGAGGCAATCCTTTACTTGCAAACCATCAAGTCTGTGGACATTAAGCATCATACTATAAACAAAATACAGTTCTGGGCGTTCCAATAGCACTGCCAAATTAACAATCTAAAGTAAGTAATTTAGTTTCCAGCAGCGACACACCACGAAGCTCCCTACTCGTTCACTGTTGCAGTGCATGGCAGTGTAAATAAATTCATGGTGTCACTGCTTTAGGTGTTAAATTAAACACACACTTAGTTGGGATTCCTTCAAGTGCAGAGCGTTAATTATATGTATATAGCTCACCTGATGGTAAGATGATCAATTGTCGAGTTGTGGAGGAGGCACACAGGAATACTTAGAATGTCATCGAGCTTTGCTGGGTTTGTCGGGAGGTAAATCACGACATTATCATCAAGCCTTGCCTCCTGCTGCTCTGGAGGCTTGCGGGAAGGCGCGTGCATGATGACTCTCCCAATTGGCCGAAGGAGTTGCTTTAAGCGCCTTGAATCTGCCTCATTTTGTGTACGGAAATCATTCATGGTTTTAGACATGCCAGAGCCACACTTGCCTTCTTCATCGGGAGGAAAAATTTCAGAATACAATTCAATGAGTCCATACGTCACTGCGCCATCCTTGGGGAGCTTTGCGTTTGGCTTGCTGGCAGTTTGTTCAAACCACGTCGATGGTATGGCCAGGTCCACCAAGCACATCCCAAGTTCTCCTGCCAGTCGGCAAGATGTCTTCAACTCCTGTACTTTTGAGAGAGCTTGTAGTTTCACGCATGGCAGGTCATCTGCTTGTTCCTTTTTACTCCAATCCCTTCCAGAAATGTAAAACACAACTTGGAGCTTTGGGTTAGAAGAGAAGACTTCTTGTTGTAAAATGTGGGATTGAAGATTCCAGTTGGTCGTCAAGCCCGCTGACTTTTGTGGGAAAATGTTCTCAAAACCCAACGGCTTTTTGGGCAGTGGTTGCCACGTGGAAAATGATCCCAGGCTCACTTTGATGCCAGAGTGCTCTTTGGTACTGTTCAGGATTAAAATTGGCTGTGTGAGAGCATGAAGGCTTGTGTTTAATGGTTCAGCGTCCTGTTTTGCATTCTTCAGCAAGAAGAAGGACTCTTCATCTTGAAGTTCATATTTGAGTGGCAGGTATGGTATTGTTAAAGGTGCATGGTCATTCCCAAGCATGAGAGGCATGGCACTAAGAAAAGGCATACCTAGAAGAAAAACACAAACAAAAAACAACAATTTACAGCTGATATTTAAAGGCAATGTAAGTTGTTACAGTTTTTAAAGCATTCACAACACACATTGAACCGAAATGCTGCAACAAAAAACACCCACATACCTTTTTGAATTGCATTAAAATAATGTTAAACATTTTAGATATGTAGTTAGTCATGACATTCATTTGCAAATAATGTATATTCAACCGATAATATAAAATGTTCAAAATGATTTAGTCTATGAGTTAGAATGGTAGATGTTTCTTTTTTGCAAATATGACTAAATGTGGACATTTTTAATTTGGTAGTCTTATGGGCAGAGATCATAATACATTTTATTTCCAAATTATACATCTTTTACTGTCCATATTTTAAATATCATGCATTATGCAGGAGAAAACCTCATCCACTCTTGACATTTTAATAACATTGAGAGCACAATGATGAATCTTGAAAGGTTTTAGGGCCACATGACAGTCATTTTTATTTTTTAAATTCATGGGCGATTGACACACTGTATTACTGTCACATTTGGTATAACTGACACATATATAAATGCCAGAGACAAGAATATGTCACAAATTTGACAAGTGACAGACATTATGAATTCACCATCTTCTATGTCTCGAAGCAAGCATTGCAAGCGCTACCCGTACCGTTTCTCGGAACAACATATACCACCCATATAGGCTTGTCTACATTCTGATACTGTTTTTTTTCTTAAACCAGCATCATTTATGACAATTTCTCAAATAGGCATCGGCGTTTACAGTTAGGTTCAGGTCAGATTAGGACACGCAGGAAGCTGTGGTTGAGTGTTTATACATGCATATATTATATAAAGGTTGGCTGAGGTTTACCGGTAAGGCCACATTAAAAGCTTTGGTTGAGTGTGTTTTTATACGTATAAAGGTCAGCTCTGCATGCAGTGCTTTACTCTTCTGCTGCAGGCAGAAAGCTACCACTTTTAATCAAGTACATACATTTCAAGTATTTAAGCATAAAGCACTCATTCTCATTGTAGAGAGCGAACACTTAACTTTACTGTAAAACAGACCCATTCTGTGTATGTGGTGTATTTCACGAATATGAAGATACAAAGTTGTATCTTTACAATTTGCAGCCACTTTGCGGTCCAACATGTTTGTTGTTTTCTACGGGGATCTATCGACGACCGAGGCCCTTTTACGAGGGCTCCACTGGTTGTTTCATGGGGAAGGAGGCTCTGGCAATTGGCGAGTACAGCCCCTTGTGGGATAACCGCCCCTCATGGTGGGCACAAGGACAAAGTCATGTCTAGAAGGCTGACTTTCAGTCTATCGCAGCAAAGGACCGGCTCTCTATTGTTGCAACAGTGATTTTGTGATATAAATAAAAATGTACATACAGGGTGCTTAAAATGTTTTTTTAACACTTTTGAGAATTTGCAACAACACCACGTGACATGTGCTGCTGCCTCCGGGCTCTGGAGGCCACCTGGAGAAGATTCCAGGTCACGTGTTGACAATGATGGTGAACGAGTGGAGACTCTTTTGACTTGTTGAGGCTATGCACATAGATTTGTTATCATGTTACAGTGTATTATCCATTCTTTTCCCATTGAAAACGATACTCCGATACAAGTGTAAAAAAAAATCTAAGCACCCTGTATATATTTAATAATATATTTTCTTACTGGGTAAGAAAAAGAGCTGAACAATATCAAATGTATAATACTGTACATTAAAGAGTGTACTGTGTGAGCCAAAGTCAGCTCGTCTCACCATAAAAAAAATGTCTACACTAAAACGTTCAAGGTGCTGCATATTTTTAATTAAACAAAATCATAATGATATACAGGATGCTTCAAAATGCATTTAACATTTGTGTGGGACTATCGTTTTTAAAGGAAAAATACACTGTAACATGATAATAAGTGTATGTTAATAGCTTCAAAAAGTCAAAGAGTCTCCACTTGTTCGCTACCATTGTCAACACGTGCCTGGAATCTACTCCAGGTGGTCTCCAAAGCCCAGAGGCACATATATTATGGTATTATTGCAAATTATCGGAAGTGTTCACATTTTTTTTGAAGCACCCTATACATAAATGATCGATCATACAATGTCCCGTGAGCATTTGGCAGCTTATAAGCACAATACCCTCAGTTGAGTGTTTTGTCTGAGCAATCTTACCTCCTACACAGTGAATAATGTAGCCCATGCTGAAAAAACAGTTGTAATCTAGATTTGAAGTTTTCGTGACTGCAGGGATCCATACTCTTTGTTGTAATGCAGCCCAGAGGGGAGCATGTGTACTGCCTAACCGCTGTGCTCTTTAGTATTTCTTAATTCCCAGTGACATTCTTTGGAAATGGTGGGTGGCCCTCACAGATGCACCCGTAATCAGAGTTGTGTTCAAGAGACCAGTGGCAGAGTGAGGCAAAAAAAAAACCCAGCAAAAGCTTCAGGCTCCATGCAGCTCATGAGGCTCTAGACTCATGAAAATATATGAGTGCCTCAAATATCAGACCAATTGCAAACGTAGTAAACATAAGCTAATTAATTACCATTAAAAAAAGCAAATTAACCACTCCCCTCTCATTTCTATATTATCCGTATCTCACCGCTGCATCTATATTTTCTCATCTCACTATAACTATACATCTTGTCTACATCTCTTCTGGCATCTCGCTAAGATTTTAGAGTTTGAAAAGGGGTCACTCCCCACCTAATGGGCTCACACTCCACTGAAGGAGACCAACTTCTCATGTTAGTGGATCAGATTTCGTATTAGATTATGCTCATCTTACATTGGCATACTAATTTTAGATATAAGTATCTTTTTTGTAAACACATACAACCGTACGGTACTGTTGAATACAATTGACACGAACATGTAGTTAAAAATGTACGTATTGAATTGTTACACCCACGGCACATAGAGAAACCCCACTCCCCCCATAAATAAAAACAAATAATACAACCATATTGTTTTCGTTGTGATACATTTTATAACGCATACATGTTGCGTTACTTACAAAGGCACTGTCACGTTAATTTTAAATGCTTAGAATCCTGCTAAATATTCGTTGGGTTTTGTATCTTCTTACACACTTGTAACACACCGCCACACCCATGTATGATGTATTCTCCATGTATTTCCACCTGGTGTCCTTTTTAAAACCAACACAGATGCCTCATTGGCCATTCCCTTGCTTATGAATAAAGCATCTGAACTGTGTACTGGAATGTAACTTTTTCGTATAATTATTTTCACAAGATCCCCAATACATTCACAAAAAGTACCCATTGTAGAGGTGACCTCCTCACCAGATGCCACGGAGCAAGACACAAACGAATGTAAAAACGGACCATAAAGGCGATCAGGCGACCCATCGACTTTGTTTAAAATGCATCTCCCCACTGAAATCCCGACAGGCATATTTTATTTTTGTAAAGTTATTTCACTTACAGTATACTGATGTTAAAATACAATTTTTGTTGCCACAATTTGCTGTTCAAGCAATTTGTGCAGAGTGTACTCGTCAGTGGCTCAAGATCAACGTGCTGGCAGATTCAGAACCAGGAAAAGCATGCACAATTAGAATTGGTCTCTCTGTTAGGCGCTGGGAGGCTTTGCTTCTTTAAGTAGTTGTTACACTGAAGAGAAACAACAAAATAACAAAATATATATAAAACAATAAAAAAACGGTCATCATCAGGTGTGTGACACACCTGATGATGACCGTTTGAGTTATGGTCGAAACGTCGTGAGAATTTTTTATTGTTTTATATATATTTTGTTATTTTGTTGTTTCTCTTCAACGTGACTTTACCGAAAAAACTAAGAATATGAATTACTGCAGTCACGAAAGCTTTAAATCAAAATTTAGTTGTTACACTGTTCATGCTGGTGCCATAGCTAGGGTTGTCCATCTGAGGATATATCACGGGTGGAAAAATATCTCACAATAACGGAAGAGGAGATAACTATGTGTAAATGTAACAGCTATCGTCTCTGATAATTGTATGAGTGAACAAAATTGCAGAAATGAGATGTTAAAAAAAAACATGCAACAATCAAACGAGATAACAGACTCCTTTCGTACTGAGAAGGGCAGTGATTTACTTATCTAAGTATGACATTTGGAACTTCATCCTCTTCATAACGCGATCCAGATGATCCTTGGCTACGATCTTCCACGAAGCTAACGGGCCACAACTCTAAACCTCATCTGCACAAACCGTGTGGACACTCGATGCACAAATGGAAGAAGAAAAAAACTCTCCAGTGTGCAACTGTGTTCACCCAGACAAGACCATGGAAGATAGAGTGACTCAATGGCCGATTGACAAATACGAAGGAGGCAGCTGTGTTGCTCAAACATCTCAATGTAAAATTCGAGTTGTTGCTTTATATCAACATCATCCATACGAAAAACAAGATCTGCAAAATTGTTTCATGCATCATCGCATGATATTTTTTTGCTATAGAGACCCGAAAAATCAAACCATTTTTCAGGAAGCATACTAGAGATTGGTATAACACGTGTGCCTGATTTGACCAAATGTTACCAAATCAGGCATTCAGTTTTACCTGAGTCAATATATATGGGGATGCTAAGGTCTGTTGAAAATATAAATTACATGGCCAGGAATCAAACTCAATTTGATGGCATCATAATGCAGTGCAATCAACACTGTGCATCATCTCCAATATTGATTCAACATCTGCAATTATTAATTAAATAATATTGCAATTGTATGCATCATATCGTCTGCAAAAAAAGACGCGCCAAATATGGATTATGATTTGCGAACAGTTTCTGTTATTCCGAATACAACCTTGCATACTTTGTGAAATGTAGCAAATTTTTTATTATTTTGTATGCGCTGCTGTAGTACAGAGTAATTAAAAACACATATTAGTTCCCTGCTGTGCCAACTTAAAAAAAAGTTAATAATACTTGAATAAATTACAACATTCTATATGAAAAGGGAAAATTGCAA